ATAGGTGGTGGGGAGTATCTTCACTCTATGGAATTCTCTCCTTGGTGTAGAAGAGATTCTATAACTCAAACAGGGATTCTTGAGCCCCCTCCCCCAGCCCAAGTCCAGAAAGGTCTTCTCCCCACCCCACTCCCCAGAAGGATCTGCTAGCTGTGTCTTCCATCTCTCCTGCCCAGATTCAAGAGAAACCTACTCAGAGTCAGAAGTAAACCCTCTGGTCACAGCACACATCCCCCCCCACCCCCAGCTTGCTCCCCAACCCGGGTCATCTCCTTGGTTCCACAGCTGTCCAGGCTCCCGTAATGCTTCTTAGCACCAGGTTGTATGTAGTAAGCAAGGTGGGAGATACATGTTGGACTGAGTCTATCTTTTGGAATTTCTGCCTCAGTTTATCCACCTTTGTCCACCAGAGTGTGGGGCCTGGGACAGTCTGGCTGGATTTGCCACTGAGAAAGTTGCAGAAAAAGGAAGAGACTGCCCACTGAAGATGCTTATCACCAAAGTCCCACTTATGCCCCTCCTACATTCTCCCAGAGGCCTTCCCTTTGGGGATTAGTGGGGTTATTGCTGGACCTGAGGCCCTCAGGGCTCCCTGGCTGGAGAGATGTTCAGTTGTGGACACAGACTCCACCCATTACTCAGCTCTTGCCCTCCAGCTATGGGTAAAATGCTCTGAAATTTTGAAGATCTGTGCCTGCGGCTGTCCCTTCCCTAGGTCTCCCCCTATGAATTAAGGGCTCCTGGTATAATGTTTGACCTGCTGCAGTAAAATATAGCCCCATCAGGAGAGTATCAGAAGACTAGTCTCTAAGTTTGCTCTCTTGGCGTACCATACGCCCACAGCGGGGAGAGGTGAGAGCAAGAGGGCGGTTAACTCAGTTCCAAGAGTCCAGGATTCATTTCCCCACCCAGTCCCCCCAAAGGAGAGGGCCGCCTTCGAAGGGAGACCACCCGCTTAAAGCCTGGCCATCCGATCTGGTATCTGCCCATCTGTCTGTCTGTCTGTCTGTCTGTGGGATCAACAGCCTCCAGCCAGCTCAGCTCCTCGCCAGCCAGCGCCAGCCAGCTGTAATTCCTGCCTGTTACAAGTGTTAACACCTGGCCTGAGGCCTTCCTCCCCCGCCGTCTCCAGCTGCCTCCCTGGGCCCAGCCCACTGACCCCCATGGGGTTTGACTGAACATGTTCGCAAGCCTCTGAAAGGCGGGTGGAGGTGGTTGTGGGTGAGGGAGGCAACAGGACATCTGATAGATGGGGAAACTGAGGCAGGCGCCACCCCCGTCGGGGACGAGTCCTAGGATGATGGAAAGAGAACTCCTCTGCAAAACGCTTTGTGAAAGAGAGCAAGGAGATGGCGCCATGTGAAAAGTGAGGAAACAGAGGCTCAGGAGGAGGGTCACAGGTCCACAGCCCCCCAGAAGTGAGCCAGCGCTGACCCCTGCACAGGCCCCTCCCATGTGGGCCTCCACCTCTGGAATGCAGCAGGCACTGGCCGGGCCCTAAAAAGGGCAGGTTCCCTTTCCCCCCAGGAAGGAGAAGAAAGACAAGTTTCTCTACCAGGAGCTAACTGGGGCTGACAAGGAGAATTACAGAAATCAGTGCAGCTGTCATGGCTTCCGGTCCCAGGTCTGCCACTACCTGGCTGTGCAGCCCTGGGCACACCACTTCCCTCTGAACCTCACTCAGACTCTTCCTTCTGGGATTCTTCACCCATAGCCCCCAGAAAACGGGCCTGAGCGTCAAGGGCCACAAAGGGGGCTGTCCCTGAAGAGCATCCCGGAACTCATTTTCCCTGCAAATTGTGTCCTGGGTGGGCCGAGGAGAGCAGGCAGGAGGGAGGCTAAAAGGACTGGCCTTTGCCTGCCTGGGGGCACAGTAGAAATAGGAATCTAAGACCTGTCCAATGCCCCAGGCCCAATGAGGCCCCAGCCCTAAGAGGTGACTCACCCTCCACCCCACCTCCAAGACCAAAGAGAGCTGGGAGCAGTCTTCCGGCAGACAGGTGAGTTCACCTGGGGAAGGCTATGCTGTCCCTCAGAGCACGTCTTGTCTCCTGCTGGGCCCAGGCTGGGTGATCACCCCTCAGGGACCACAGCTGCTCCCCAAGCACCCTGTATCGTCCCCACTCCCCACCTCCAGGTCATTGTCTGCAAGCCCACACACAGACATGCAACCACGGCCTTATCACGGTCACCAGTTCTTGGGGACAACATCACAGACAAACCCAGATCCAGCCTTCACATGGCTACAGAAGTGAGGGTCACACTTATACTTCCAAGCACAACCAGGTCATGGCCATGAGCACCCATGTTCACGCACAAAGAGCCTCACGCTGTCACAAAAGCATGTGCACACACAAATCACACCCCCACCCCCACCCCCACAATGCAAACCCCCGCACGGACAACACTCAAATACACATTGTACTTGTATATACATGCAACAGTCGTATCATCTGCACCACACTGACGCTGACATACACACATGATACATATGCACACTGACATATACACACAGTATTCACATACACTCACATGCTCAGGCATGAGCACAGTCACACACAGCGTCACAAGCAAACATGGGCACTGACCCTTAAATGGGCATAGATGCTTCTAGACCTTGCTCTCTGCCTCTGTCTCTTTCTCTCGTGCTCATTCTCTCTCATACACACACACACACACACACACACACACACACACACACACACACATAACCACTACTTGCTGACACTTGTGTGCAGAGACACAGACACCTTATGCCCTCACCTTGTCACAGGCATGGCTCCCCGGGGACCTCTGTGTGAGTTCACAGTCACAAAGCTGCCCAGTCCCAGGTGCAGACAGTCCTACACACAGACTCGCTAGTGGGTAGATGACATTCCATAGGGTCTTAGACCCAGACCCACACACATGCACCCACACGTGCACCCGCAGAGGCCTCTGCCCACCCCCATGTCACATGCACACACACATCCACATGCAGACATGGGTCTCCCCTCCTCTCAGACAAAGCAGCAGCCCTGGTCCATCCCCACTCCCGTCAGTCCCTCTGCCCACCCCTAGCCTGTCTAGTATTATGCTAGGACCAGTATCCAGGCCTTCCAGGCTTACTGCTTTCCTCCTGGTTTCTTCCTATTAGGTGGCCCCTGCCTCTGCTCCTCACGACACCACCACCACCACCACCACCACCACCACCACCACCACCACCACCACCTACCCGCTCAGCTCTGCCCCAGGAAGTGCCTCCTTCCCTACAGAGGGTATGGAAACCTGGTTTCTTTTCCTCAGTCCCTGCCAGCAAGGCTCCAAGCCTTCTCTCCTCCCCTTCACCCTCCCCCAGAGACCCCTGAAAGCGAAGAATGACACAGTCTCGGCCCAGGGATGGGGAGGTTAGGAATGAGGCAGGAACAATTTCAGCAGCAGCCTTCCCAGAGGACAGAGCCCCTATCCCAGAGTCCTTGTCCGCGTCAGGGACTTCTTTATGTACAGGAGGCCGGAGGCCAGCCCAATGGTACCAGGGAAGGATGGATCAGACAGAAGAAATACTTTGCTGGATGTCTGTCCTGGGACCACTCCCAGCCCCCTCTAACCAGAAACTATCAGCATCCCCCACCCTCCAGCTCGCAGAGATTCCCAAACAACCAGACACAAATACTCCCACTCCCAGACAGCTAGATGCAAATTTTGGGGTGTGGCCCCTATATTTCACTGGCTCTACACCCCCTGCCAAGTTCAGAGGTGAGGGGGTAACAAGGGAGGGAAAGTGGAGTCACTCAGCAGACCTGAAACCCAGAGAAGGGCTTGCACTCCAGGGGCCGCGGCCCCATCTTCTTTCAGAGATCCCAAATTCTCCCTCCTCACCTCCCACCCCCCCCAGGCCCAGGCTCTTCTCGGTCCAGGAGAGGAAGATTCCTTAATTAAAGTTTTCTGGAATGCAGGGGGCTGGAGACCAGGAGAGGCGGGGTGTAATTTAAAGAACTGGTTTCTGTGTGTCCTTCTGCTCTAGCCTTACGACCTGCAAGGGGGGTGGGGGGCGATGGGGCCGCCAGGAAAACAAGGGGACTCCCCAGATCTGGGACACTCAAAGGGCTGTTTATTCCTCAGTTGTCCCCCCATGCCCAGGCGCACACCCCCAAGTACAGAGCTTAGATCCCCAGCCCTATTTGCTAAAATGCCTTTTGTATCCGCATTTCTCAGGGACCGAATGCGCCCTTCCTTCTCTGCCTTTCTCCACGCTCCTCGATTTTCCAAAAGGAACGAATCTGACATGGAGAATTGGGGGTTTCATCAAAGAACAACAAGCCCACCCCTCCCCAAACAACTACCTTTTCAAGCCTCACCTCCCCTCTTTTTTTTCTGACCAAGATGGACACAACACGAAATGATTAAAAATCCGAATTCAATGGCACCACAGAGGGAAAATAAAGAACACCCCATATTCACTTCACAGGCTCCAGATGAATCTGGAGGAGTGGGGAGAATCGAATGAAATTCCGCCAACCTCTTGCCCCCACCCCGACCCCCTGACGCCTTTGCGGTCTGAAACACGAAGGCAAAGGGGGTGATTGTGGGGCAGTCTCCGGACGGGGGCTTGGGAAGGGATGGAGGTGGCAATTAAGAAACACCATGGTTTTGCCCACGATGACCCCAAAATGGAGCAGAGGAGTGGCTGGACCCTGGGGACAGCGCTGGCTTTCCAGAAAGCCCGCTGCGGACGAATGGAGGGTCTCGGGGCCCCCTGGTGCGCACGGGTGGAGGGTTGGGGGGGAGACCTAAGAATTAGAGTCCCTCGGAAGCGATGAGTGGCAGGGAAAATGGTGATTCTCACAGGAGCCAGGAGTTAGATTCTGAAGGCGACACCAGCAGAAAAACCCAGGAGGGGCTGGCGGGTGGGGGTCTGGAGGGAGGCAAGCAGAAAGGCGCCCCGGCTCTGCCGCAGCCCACCCGCAGCCGCTGCCCCCCACCTCCCCGGGCCCGGCGCGCGGACGAGAGGCGAGCCTTACCACCAAATCGGGTAGCCGGCGAGGACCCTGGTGCCACCGAGAAGGAGGCCCAGGAGCAGCCTGAGCAGGTGGGGCTCCATTAGAACGGGCGCCGAGGAGGAAGTTTGCCCGCGACCATGAAGAGGGGGAGCGACGCCCCCAATAGTTGGAACAAAGTCCACTTGAGATTGGAAATGACTTTCGGGCTTGTCAGAAGCGCACCTCCACCCGCAGCCGCCCCCCTCCGAGCCCAGCGCGGAGCAGCCGGGTTTGAGGATGTCAGCGAGCAGCCAATCAGCGCCCGCGGCCTAAGGTAAGAGATGAGTCTCTAGTTGGCCTGTCAATCACGGCCCCTCCCTCCCGGGCCCGCTCCGCCGCCCAGGGCAGCGCCCGGCAAACTTGGGCGAAGCCCGCGCCCTGCGCGCGCGCGCGGGCAGCTCGGGGGGCACACGCACGCACGCCCCTCCGCCGACCCGGGGCTGCTGCGGCCCCCAGCCGGCCAGCGTTAGGGAGCCCGGGCGCGGGCTCGGCGTCTGTGGAGGTGCCACCCTGGCCTAGGCACTGCTGGGTGGCTCATTTCTCTAGGGGGACCGTGACCCCTTGGCACATGAGCTCGTGAGGAATCGAGAGTAGAAAGCACAGGGGATGTTTCCAGAAGGCTGGCTCTGGCAGGGCGGCACTGAGGGGTGTCTAGGAGAGTTAAGGAAAGCACCTCCCCTTGGTCGGCTACCTCCCGAGCCCCGGAGCCCTGGAGCCCCGGAGCTAGAGGCCACTCGACACGGGTCGCAGGCGGTCACCCCGGGGTGTCCGAGCGGTGCGCGAGGGCCGGGGGAGGCTCACGGGTCTGGCTGCAAGCGGCGCCGGGGGCCCGAGCCGGGTGTCATTCCAGTCTTTTGTCAGGGATCAGATCGGTATCGAGACCTCCTGCTGCCTGTGCATTTCCTGCAACTGACACCAGCGGCCAGTCGCATTTCCTGCTCGAGGGGCCGGAGCACTTTCTCCTCTGTCCGGGCTTCAGACCGCGTCTCGGCCCCAGGGCGCAGCAACGCGACCTGCCGCCCCTCTGCGGTCTTGAGGGTGAACCTCTCCTAATCACTGAGACCCAGCCTGGACCTAGAAACAACGGGGGTGCCTGGAGGGGGTCCCCCGGTGCCCTCCGGCCTTCCCAGCAACAACCCCTTAACCGACTCCCCGGGCAGAGGTCCCCGTCCTTCCTCTGACAATGGGCTTGGGGTTAGAGGACAAAATCCCTTTTATTTAGAGACCAAATGCATGCAAACACTCTATGCCTCTCCTTAACCGAGGTAGTAACCCAGAGTGGTGCTGGGATTGCAGCTAGATTGGGGGTCGCGGTCACCTGGGTAACTTCCCCTACAGTTTCTCTGTTACCAGAGACAGCACCCTGGGTTCTGAGCAGGCAGGGTCTGTGGCCGGTGATGGAAACTGCAGCTGACGGGCAGTGGGAGCCAGGGGGGTCCTGCTAAGACTCAGAAGGCAGGCTCTAAACCAGGTGGGGGGCCGCGACTGCAGGAAGTCCCACGCGTGTGGGGGGGGGCGACAGTCCCTGCCTTTGATCTGGGCCGCCCGTGCCCACGGCTCGAACCCGCTGCCCTGCCCGTCCCGTGAGCCCTCTCGGCTGCTGCGGGCCGGGGACTGGCCCCGGGGGCACCAAGGGTCGGGAGAGCCGCCCAGGCTTGTCACGGCTTCTGCTGCGTTCCTAGCCGTGTGCTCTACTGGAGGGGGTGGGAGGGGGGGAGATGAAAGAGAGGAGGGAAGGGGAGAAGAGGGAGAGACTGAGTGGGGGCGAAAGAGGGCGAGAAGGGGGAGGGGAGACGAGTGGCCGAGGGAGATGGAGGGAAAAAGACCCGGAGAGGACCCCTGAAGAGCGAGGGGACGAGAACACCCGAACCTGCCCGAAGTGGGCCAGGCTGCGTAGAAGGGCCCATAGCGATGCCTGGTGCTGGGGGTTCCATTTCCGCTTCACTTGGAAAGGGGGACGCAGTGGGCGTGCCTCTGTCCCCAAATGCAGAGTCCCAGGACCGAGCTCCAGGAGTAGGGAGCCCTCCCCCCCTCCCCTACGTGGGCCAAGGCCTGCTGGGTTCTCCCAGCTCCAACGCCCTCCTTGGCTCTCAGCTGGTGCTCCGATCTGAATTGACAGCTATGGTGCAAATCTTCTGGTCAACTTGGAGACACCAGAGGCCCATAATCATCTCTCTGAAGACCGGGGGTAAGGAGAAGCTGGCTTCCCTTGACATCAAAGACTATAGGACTTTGTGGAGTCCCTCCGGCTCAGAGAAGGAGCAGGACTGGATGGCCTCCTGGGGTCATTTCCAGACCCCAACATTCCACAGGTGCCAGCTCTAGGAAGTGAGAATAAAGAAGATTCCCATGCTTGTGGCGGATGGGGGCTTGGCTGAGATGCTCCCATCAGGGTCCAGCCAGCGGCCCTGGGCTTGGAACCTACCGATGCCAGGTCAAGGCTGCCCGGAAGCATCGAAGCATCGGGAATCCTGGTCGTAAACATCAGGCAGTGAAAGAGGGAGAGATGGGGGTGGGGGTGGCCTGGGGACAGAAGTGAGTGGCATTCGGTGGCTGTCGGAGCCTGGCCCAGCTGGGGAAGAGTGGTGGGCGGGGTGGGAACCCACAGGGGACCATCCCGGTGCCTGAGCATGGAGATGGGTGTGGGGATTTCCCCCCACTTGAAAGCCCCCAGAGGAGGGGATTCCTGAGCCCTCTCCTCTCCCGGGCCAGGTGTCCTTCCTTCAACACTGTCTTAATTTCCTTCCTCCCTCCCGCCCCGCGCTGCCGGTGAGAACGCAGACTTGGTCCCTGCCGGGGCGAAGAGGGCGCCCCCCGCTTGCCACGTGTCCCAAACAGAAACAGCCTCTCCACGTAGACACTCCGAAGCTCAGGGCTGGTGGGCAGCACTTAGTGGGGGGAAGGGCTAAAGCCACAGCTAGGGTGGGCGGCTTCCGCGAGGTGGACCTCAGGAGAGTGGCCTCTCGGACCGGGGCCGGGACGGGGAGGGGTGCATGTGGGAAGCCCTCGGTTGTGTGCGGGAATGTGGGAGACGTCAGACTTGCGGACGCCCCCAATTCACACCCCCGCCCCGCCACTCGTAGTCCCCAGGTGCCTTTTGATGTGCGTTCCCCGGAGCCGAGCCCGGCTATTCAGGCGGCTCGGGAAGGCCCCCCGCCAGGCTCCGCCGAGACAAAGGAGGCCGCGCCGGCCCCGCCCGCCCGCAGGGGGCTGCCGCTCTGCGGCCGGGAGCGGGAAGCAAACCTCCGATCTCGGCGCAGCGTGGTTCTTTTTCTGCTTGGCATCTGCCCGCGGACTGCCCAGGCCCAAGCTGGTTGCTCGGACCAGCCTAGGGAGGTTGGAGGGAGAGGGACAAGGAGCCACAGGCAGGGAAACACCCAGAGGTCTGGAGCAAGGTGGCCAGCTCCGAGAAGGGCGTGAAGGGGGCGCAGGGGTGAAAGTGGCTCCACTGCCAGAGAGGGAATGTTCACCTTGTGCTAAGGGGTGTTGGAGGTGCAATTGCAGTTTTAAGCCAACTCCCCCGAGGCCACTGGGAGGCTGGACATGGGCATCAGAGAGGGCAATCTGGAAGGTGTACTGGGCGGGAAGCATCCCATGTGTCTACAAGCATTAATTAATAGGACAAGATTTCTTAAATGACTCAGTTGGACGTCCTGAAAATGCTCACAAGATGAAAGTTTGTGGCCTGCAGGGCATTGGCCTATGTTCGTGAACATCTGCGCCGGAGCCCATGCACAGCCTTCTCCCGGCCCCAGCGCGTCCCCTGGCGGTGGTGCTGATAGTGAGGCGGGGAGTCCGAGAGCAGACAAAGGGGGCAGCTCTGCCCAACCAGGGGGCCTGCCTGCGTCCTTCTTGTGAGCAGCTCAGACTTTTGGAGCTTGTGGTTAAGTAGATCAAAACGCATCCTGGTGGTGTGGTGGAGTGTTTAGGTAGCTTGGCTGCTAATTCCAAGGTAGGTTGTTAGAGCCCATCAGCTTCTCTGCTGGAGAAATAGGAGGCAGAGGTGGTTGAGGCCTTGGGTGCTCTCCTCTATCCTGTAGGGTAGCCGTGTGACGGTGTGACGGATTGGAAGGCAAAGGGGTTGGTTAAGTAAATAAGGTAAATAAAGAGCCTTGTGGGTGAATGTTTTAATCTCTCTCACAGTTTAGCTGGGCATATGGAATGTGTGGCTCTGCCTGCCTTTAACCTTCTCATTCAGGTGGCTCCCAAGTCCAGATTCAATAACTGGGGGGGGGGGGGGACAGAACAAAAACAAGTAGAGGTGACGCCATGTCCAGGGCTCACACCCCTGAGTACAGCCAGGAGGGACCCTGAGGCGACCCGTCCAGGGAGCTCTGACTGTCTCAGCCTCCCAGGGGGAGGTGGGGGGATGCTAACTTCAGTATGATGTCATGGAGTCCTCAGCACACCCACACCCCTAGATCCCAGGTGCCACCTTCAGGAACGTGAGGGGTTTTCCCCTGCACCGTAGTTCCTCTTGTCTTAGTCATCTCCAGTTCCCCGGGGCATTTTGGAAAGTATTTGATTTGGGGTCAAAATCTTGCAGAAGGGTAGGAGCTACAGTGAGAATTGGGGAGGGCGGGGTGTGTCACCACTGGACAGCTGTGTGTCTTCTCTGGGCCTCAATCAATTCAGCTGCAGAGATAAATTCTATCTCCTAGGGAGCTGTCAGTATTAAATGGGGAATAATAAATACTGGGTTCCTTTCTTCTCCTCTTTGAGGCCTGAGCAATAAGCTTCTCTTTTGGGTTTCTCTTGTCCTGGTGAGTATCGACATTGGGGTCTTCTCAAGAGCCTGGAACCTCTTGTCAGAGACTTTATGCAGGAAAGCCTCACTCGGCATTCCAACCTGAGACCTAGCATAGCATCTTCTGCTAGCTGCCTCCCACTCTGCCCTCCTGGATCCCTTATTTGTCTGCACGGCCGTAAAGCCAGGACCTACATAAGGCACACCTGTGAGAGAAGGAAAATGCTACTATTTTCCACTAAAACAAGCAATAGAAAAGGATGAGACTGCCCCCTTTCAAAGCTGGAACACCTGCAGGACCTGGGAAACAAGGCAGGGCTGTCAAGCTCTGACTTCACTTTCCCAATTTCATGAGAACCGCGGCGGCCCTACAGCACAGGCTACAATAGTCCCACAGGGTTTCCGAAACTGTCACCTTTAGAGAAGCAGATAGTCGCATCTTCCTAGGGGTTGGTGGGTCCAGACAACTGC